ATGATTTCATCTGATTGTGATTTTTCAGATAGAACGCATATAGGAAACTCCCTGTTCTATCCAAAAGGTGTCATTGATTTTTTTTTATATTATTTATGTCATTTGGTAACGTCAACGATCATTGCCATCTGGGTGATTTGAGAAAATGCGACTAGCCAATCAGCGCAAAGCTGACAAGCTTATGTTGTAAACATAACCCTCCGACGGGAGGAATTTGCACAGCAAAACTCGACCCAGTGGAGTAGGCTGCCTGTCATTTTATTCTATCCGAAAAATCGAAGCTAAAACGCAAAGAGAAATTGAAAATCTTTATAAAATAGCTTTTAAATGTCAATCAAATATTTATCGCTATAGAAAGAGAATTTTATCTTAAAAATGAAAAAAACAAACAACTTTTTCTTTAATACCACGAGACTCCCCTCCCTGATAGAAATAATTGTTCTGTGTTCTACGCGGGTTCTCCATTGCATGCGAAGCAATGACCGACTTCACGAAGACTTCAGAAGGTCGTTGAAGCGACGTTCAAGTCAAAAGTATCTTAGGAGGAACCATTGCAAATCATGTTKTCTTAGCTCTTGTTTCCTCTAAGCTTTGAGGTATCTACAACATCACTGGAAGAKCTAGAGCAGCTTAGGTCCACGTATTCCAATAGAGTTATAGCGTTTACTTTGTTTGGTACAAACAGCGGTCGTAGTTCATTCTTTGTCGCATTTTCGGCAATAAGCCGCAAGCGTGCTCGACGATTTGACGTTATGTAACAGGCCAGTTACACATTTACTAGCTCTGACCTTACAACAAGAGCTAGAACGGTGACTGGGGTTTTTCGTGTAATGTCTTGGTAGCGACTGTTTATGTCGAAACGACTCAAAACAAAATTCCATCGTGAAAAAAGTTCGACTAAATTCCCTTCTGAAAAACACGTGTGTATTTAAGGTGGAAAATGTTTCATATGAGCATTCAATTCTTAAAGGTTTAATTMTATAATCATTTTGTTTAGTTATGTAAATAAATTTAACACGACTTGTACTGTTTATCTGTCGAGTGAAAAGCGAGCTGCGGGTTTTCCCTTTCTTTATTTACACTTTCAAATATGACCGCTTAAAAGAAATGCACTGGCTTACAACCTTGGCGAATTCATATGCAGGCCTGGTCGCAAATCAATCACCCAGATTGTATTCATAGGAAAACATCTTTTCCTGATCCTAAAACTAATCCTCATGCTAATGATGTGTATAGCTCTTTTGAAAATTTGTCAGCTTTAAAATCAAAATTCCACTTAAGTATTGCAGGAAAAGATTACCAGTGAAACGTTCTCACCATTTCTGCTGCAGTACTTTTTTGCCTCCAGAATCTTGTCTCTGGTCAAAGCTTGTTCGTATATTTGAATACATGAGATCCTTCCCTTGAAAGACCTTGATTCTCCATTTTTCTGTCCTCCTATTTTGATCTGTTAAAATCCCAGGGTAAATGTTAAGCCACTAAACAATCATTAGCAGAAGAAATCATCGAGGAAAAAGTAACTTTAAAGCATGAAGGCATTGGTGAAAAGCACCAAGAGAAACTTGCTTCTTTCGCGTTTTTCGAACTCCCACTCAGGAGCGGATCCAGGATTTTCCTC